TTGATTCTAGTTTTGTAATGAATTCTATAAAGATCAATTCGTGTCTTTTCATTCGTCATTGAACGATTGAAATCAATAGTCATATTCCTCGAATAAGGCCCTTTGCTTATTGGCCGAGTTCGTTGGGGTTTGATTTTACGTCTTGATATAGGATGTTGTATTGACATTTTGATCCTTTCTTTCCTCGATGATACGAGTGATATAACGGTAAAAAAAAGAAAACAATAGAAGAATTTATACATGTAACAAATCTATACAAGTTTCACGATCAAATCTAACCCCCATTTTGGTGCGAATTGATACAAATTTTGTATTTCTTGTTATCCAGCTATCGATTTAATCCGGTTCAGAGTTGACAAAAACTTCAAAGACATAAAATCCTAACTTACCAATCCATATTTTCGATTGCAAATTAAAAATTAGTTAGCATCTCTCTACAAATCATTTATGGTCGAAAGACTCTAAGATGGGAGCATGCTTCTGGTTTTGTAGGGACTTTCATCAACCAGATTCTGTCCTTTTTCATCAATTCGAGTGATGGGAAACAACATCAGGTGTGAATTTAATCAATTTATACAAATATCAAGCATGCAATAAAACTATTTAAGTTTCACCAACCAATCTATCCCAGTTTGGGTCGAAAATCCAAGATATGGGTGGTCTCTGTTTCGTATCAACTCAAGGCCAAGTATTCTGTGATGTTCTGCTTCTCTGCGTGTGCGTGCCCTTGAATCAAACAGTAAACCGCAGAAAACGTTTCGGCTCCAAATTCAGGCCCATGATCCTGACCAGTAACCACAAACCATTCTCCATTGCTGGCTACCGACCAGTAAACCAGGAAAAACGGCCGACCCAGATGAATCCAGTACGCATTAACCAAGAGGAGTGGGGAAGTTGTTGAAAGATAGGTTAATTAATGGTGCAATGAATTGCTCCAGTCCTAGAATAAGCACACAAACACCCACAAAGCTCTTCGGCTTCCACAATCATATATTAAGTAATGGTACATGAACTTGCAATCAATCATGCAATGCGACCCTCGATTCCCATCTCTGTATAAATACTCGATGATCTTTCTCTTATCAAGCACCAAACCACATACACCAAGGCCGCACAGAGCAGTTTGCTAACCAGTAACCAGTCTGAGAAGGATGCAAGGAAGGAGCGGGACAAGCCATGCAACTCCCAAGGTGGAAACCGTGGTGAATCAAGAGGAGATCGCTACCAAACCTCCTACTCCTGGTGCTGCTGCCGCCGCAGCCACACATCAAGCAAGAGACCACCCAACCGGTTGCTGCTGCTGCTGCTGTCATGAGCGTCAAGCAAGTGACTAGCAAGGCGGCGGTGGCCCATGCTCCATGCCAGGGCGGTTGCTGTCAATATCAAGGCTGAAGAAATCAAAGGAGCAGGAAACTTCTGTGAAGGCTAAATCAATAAAATGAGTGGGAATTGGGAACACAGTGTCTTTAGTTGTTTTCAATGTCATCTGGTTATGTTTGTTGGGTTGTGGTAATCTGATGATAAGAATGAACATCAATCATATGTTTTCGAGAAAGCATATATATTCCTTCTTGTGACAAAAACTGAGACCAACCCCTCAGCCAAAATCCATTATTGTACTCCGCACAATCTTCCGTTCAAGCGATGAATGAAAATTCAACCAAAATTTTACAGCTTGGAAAGCTGAATAGCCAAAACTCTGCAGAGAAGAGGTGTTTCTATTGCGTGGCATAGCAATGCCCTTGTGCTTCGTAGCCTACAGGGGAAAAGGAGGAAGAAACTACACCTAGACACAGAAAACTTGCAGGCTTTCAGTGAAGGTCACAAAAACCCCACCAGTAGACAAAACTGCCTCTTCTCATGTTATCAACTGTTATTTTGCTGCTACCCTACTACTTTTACCCAACCTTTTCTTTTTCATTCCCTATACTCCCCAAGGAACATTTGTTAAGACTATGAACAATAGAAACAAAATGGTCAGTCGGCAAGACCCCATCTGATGCTTCCTCTCAAGTCTACTTGCTAAGCGGATTCATACCGAGAATGCAGAGCGTACTTCACCACCTCGTAGAACGAGACCACAATGCCAACAGAAGGCCCTACTCTTCCAACACGGGCACCAACACCAGTGAAAAGTGTCCTCATCCCTCCATCCCTGTTCATCCATATGAAGCATGATCAGGAACAAGTTACTGCTACCAATGGTAAGATGAAATTCTAAGAATTTACACTGGAAAGTTACCTCCAAACCTCCATTAGTGTTCGTCGTGTTGTCATACTCAGTGCCCTCACAGGATCCATCTGAAAGTTAAAACAAGAGAAGAGGCAACTGGTTATAGTCTGCTAAATCTCAGAAACTACACAAATCGAGCATCTACTGTCTGTTGAGTCACGGAAACCCTGGAAGGTAATACTAACCTCTATCTGCCTTCTAGTTTTAACAACATCCAGGGGACATGTTGCAGCTGCCGCAACACTTCCTGCAATGAAACCAGCCGAGAAGTTGGCTCCAAGTACACTGGCTACATTTGCATCGTCGCCAACTATACTCAAAAGATTTCTCCTCATCTGTGAGGCCAAAAGAACGAAAGTCCATGTCAAAAAATACTTCTCAGCTAAACATATCATAGACTTGAATCACAATCCATTAGCAAGAAACTACTACTAACTCGTTCATTATATGAAAAAGAAAAGGACATGTACTCACAGGCTCAAGTAGTGCCCAACAAATTCCAGAAAATGGAACGTCACGAGCAAGCTGTGCTCCCATGCCCGTCCACAGTACCCGGTAACCTCTCCCTGTTGCAAGAGAGCATCTCAGTCAAAAACTTGCATCTACCTGAGAACTTTTTCTTTTATATAAAAGTATTACCATATAGCTTTTAAACTAATAGAGGCTCCGAGAAAATTCACCCAAAGCATACTCACAGTTAGTTCCACGGTTATCCCTGCCTTGGACATGAGAAGGGCTTCAAGTAGAGTTTTTAAAACGCCAGGAGCTTTCATACCATTTGCGCAGCTTTGAATGCCTATGATTTCAATGAAAAGAAGAAGAAAATAAGGGAAAGGCCATGACCCTTGAGGTAGGTAACAAACAAAAGGAAACTGACTGACAGTTGGACTGAGAGCCATCAGATAAAGGGACAGGAATGAACCAAATTTCACTACTTGATTAAAAGCAACCAAAAGGAGTCTCAAAAGTCAAAATACCTGCATGCGAGTTCTAGCAAGTTCAACAGGATAGCAAGTTACACAAGCTAATGAACGTGCCAGTGAACCAGCTACCAAGGGAACGTAAGGTGCTGCACCAGGAATACTCTGAGAGGTTTTCTCCTCCAGCCATGCGAAATACATCATATAAGGGTAAGTAAATGCCCACCTGCATAAAACATGATGTCAAGCACCATAAGCTTAGAGATTCGGTTTTAGGAGTCTTTCCACTTCTGAAAGAACTAAGCCTTTCTCGTAATTCCACACATGAGAAGGAACTTACTGTTGGAATAGCTAGAGCCAGAGCCGCATTTGTGCCCCTCCACAGCCTCCCAAACCCTTCCTGCAAGTATCATCTTGTTGTTCAACAATTGATTTCAATCATTATAAACAAACAATGCAAGCAAGCAGAAGCAGCACCATTCACATCATTGAACGCAAATACTGACAACAGTAACATACCTGTCTTACGATCTTGTTGAACACATCAAAGTTCCCTTGTACTGAAAACAATCAGGAGGGCACATGGACACTGTCCCATGAAGTCCAGCACGCGTACAAGATGTGAACATCTAAGATCAGCAAACAACTGCCAAACAGGTCGAATGTCACTCAACAAACCATTCAGAGCAAGAAATTATCATTGACAGAAACAATTGGAGCGAAAAAGAAAAGGATGTATCTACCATGGTGGACCAAAGTAAGCCATGCGATTTATGACATTGCTAAGTGGATGAGAGTAAGCAACTCCAGCTGCCTGTGCTTGCAGCCTCGTCTGTTCAATGAAACAATAAGAAATTGATCAACGCCCCATCAATGGGATCAACTCCGAGATCCTTCCAAACTAATCGACATACCAATGTTATGCGATATACAACGCAATCCCCAAATCAGAAAACCCACCAAGAAGCATCAATCGCAAAGAAAAAGCAAGAAAAACACACGACCCACATAGCAAGAAACTCAACCCACCAATCCCCAATAAGAAGGATCAAAGATTTCCCACTTTTCTCCAGCAATCATTTTCCAATCTCAAGAACGCGAGGAAAGCACCGAAAGATTCGTCGACATGCGAAGCCGTTATTACCTTCACAACGTCAAGAGGGTTCACTATAATCGCCGAGAGGAAAGCGGCCCCTGCCGCAGAGAGCGCTCTCTCGCCAAGTCCTAAACTTTCGTCGCTTTTACCGTTGTTGGTCTGGTGACCCTGCTGAGCCGAGAAGCTCCGCTGCCGCACGCCGTCGACGGCGACCACCATTGTCTGCTCCTGCAATTCCAGAGCCGCTGTGATTCCGGGGACGGGGATCGGCGCTGCGTTCACCCATGGGTTACGGCACCGCTCTACCTCGGCCATAATACCCCCTCCCTTCGATAGCAAAAGAATCAAAGAGACGGCCGAACCAGTCGCGGAAACGGAAAAATTAGCCTTCTTTTTCCTTCTCTCGTTTCGGGTTCCGGCAAATTTGGGGAAAGAAGGGTTTCCATAACAAACTCTCTGCGGGTAGTAGGCCGCGTTTGGCTGGCTGATGTCTGAATCGGCCGACCTGCTTAAGATATCAGTTTCACCCCGATACTTGTCCGTATATGCTATATTGGTCATTAAATTTGTTGTTATAGTATTTAAGGTCGCGAAACTTGTTGTTACGCCGTTAAGTAACACCATCAAGATCGTAGATTCTTGTTAATGTTTGTGTCTTTGTTACTCATATCGGACAGATAAATGTCATATACTACCTAGACTATATCACGCAGAAGAAAGTTCGGTACTCGGATGCAGCATTCAATTGCATTCCAAAATCAAACGTGTTTCGAATGTGATAAACAGAAATCTGTGAGCTTGAAAATGTTTCATCATTATATACGTGAAAATATATTATTTCTCTATTGCAGTTACTGCAAATCATGCCAATGCCTTTTGATAGTAATGTAATGTCGATACGTCTTGACATATATCGTCATCAGTTTATAGTTATACAACGAAAAATTTGAAAACTAAATGAACTTATATGTGACAGCAACAGCATGAGTCATAGATCTTAACTTCGTAAATTTTATTGGAAATTCAAATTGAGGCTTTTGGTTGGAAAACAAGGGGTTTACATAACTTGAATAATTGATGAAGTGACAAATAAGTAATAACCAATGTTCACTCGTTCAAGAAATTTTTATGTTTTAAGAAAAACGAATTCGGTGTCCAATGTGAAATATATAGGCAGATTTGGGTACTACATGGGTATTTATCCCCCATGGAAAGGTCACGTGTCATCTCCACACAAACTGCATCTAATTTACGTGGCTAGCAAAATGCGGGAAACAAACAAGGCCTTGTTTACTTGGGGAACAAACAATCTCCATCTCGACTTTTCTAGGGCTTTCTATGCATCTGATTAATTTTTATTTTGCTTATTTCTCTAACAATTCTTATTTATTTACTAACTGTATTATTATTTTTCAATACATACCAAGAAGGCGAACAATAATTAATTATTCACTAACTTGTTTGAGTTTATTTTTCCAATTTATCGAATGTTTCCAAGAGACTATTTGAGTTATATTCAGTTTATGAAGAAAGCGACCTTATTATTTTTACTTTAGCATGGGAAATTCAATGATTTTTGTTATCGTAACTTGAAATAACGATAAACTAATGCCCTCTTCAGAAGTGATAGATCCATTTGTTTGTAACAATCTTTCTTTTCTGTGGTTGTTTGACTAACTCCCAAGTGTGATTCATGTCATGGGATTTTATCTCATCTCCCATTTGCGGCAAGCCACTAATCAGCGTTACCACACGAAACGGCTTCTCTATAGGATTGTGGTTCACCTGCATCCACTTCTTCAGCAACCTGAAATGAATACGCCACCATATCCTCAAAGCCATACCTCTCTTGTTATAACTGCGTTGCTACGGATCGAGAAATCGCCGGAATTGAGAAAGCAAGAATACGAAAGCGAGAATAAAAACAGACACACGATTTAGGTGGTTCACTAACACGATGTGTGTTTGTTATGTCCACGGGCAAGAGAGAGCCAGTTTCACTATATCGAGAAGATTACAAATTACAGAGGAGATGAGAAGTATTTATACTTCTCCATATGAGTCTAAAACCTATCCAATCTGGTAAAGAAAACGGTTACAAACCCCCATGACTTACAGTCGTAGCGGCTGAGAGTCTGATTCAAGTCACATCAACAATATGGTTGACCTTCACATTGAGGAAGATCAACCATTTGATAATTCGATCTACTTTCATTTATACAATTATCACTTAGCTGCTTGTTGATATATATGCATTTCAACTGAAACGACTTGACCTGTATAATAATGAGGTTGACCGTTATGAGCCACATAAGAGATACCACATATAAAATGAAGACGGAATAATATTAATAAGGAAAATTATGAACAAAGCAAAAACGCATAACACATACAATGATAATTTCTCATGGTTAATGTTTTAATTTATTATGGTTAATATTAGAAAGTGGCGGATCGATGATGATTAATACATCGAAGTGAATTGATGATGGTCGATGGTGGTTAGTGTGAGAGAACTAGATGATGTTGGATGAGAACGAAAATAGGCGTAATTTTGTAAATTTTGAAAAAATAAGTAAATATGACTCAAAGATTTGAATCATAAAATCGTAAGGGTAATGATATTTCGTATGTGGTCCCTATTGCCATCTCTACACCTTTTACAATATCATTTCATATAGATCCATTAACTTTATTTTCAATTTCATATTTTGCACCCAATTAACATTTATTATACAACCAAATTATTTACATACTCTAATCTTAGCCCACCTTGCCTCTTTCATATTGCATTTCATTTAATGATATCTTCCAAAGATGAAATAACAAGAAATAACAATGAAATAACCTGCCCATAGGGATCCATGTGTTAGATACTCTGGGACCTATTTTACGGTATTGGCTGTACTTTGATTATATCGGGGTTCAAACCCCAAGCATTATTAATAATTAAGGGTTAGATTGCCCCTTCTGCGCTCTATTTTTCACCCAAAAAAATTATACTACTTTGATTAATAAATGAGATGGATAAATAAAAAAATTCTAATAAGATATCTAAATATTCCAACGGAAACGATCGGGTCCAAGATAATATTATAAGATACAATTTTAAGAGAAATCACAATGATTATAATAATTTCAAGATACATTAGGATTACAACAAAGTTTAGGACTTTGTTATGGTGACTTGCAAGTCACCGTAATTTGCACTTTTGGTCGACCTCAGTTATGATTAGGTCAACCTAATTTGTTGTTTCAATGTACAAACATTTCATGGTGCCTACGTTGGATATTCATATCTTACAATTGGCTCGATTGAAATTGGAGATTAATGGCTTGTTTTGAAGCTGGGGTGTCCCTCTACACAATGAAGTGCTTGGAAGCTCGATAGAAAGTCCAGAAGACCATTTTTGAACCTGATCAAAAGGCTATGCCAAAACTGTGAAACTGTCTGAAAATGGCCAAGTCTGGGAACGTGTTTCTGAAGCTTACTTTGGAGCTCAATTCGAGAAACATGGATGAGAGTCGAGTCCATGGGCCTCTACCACGTGAAAGTAGGTATGTTTTTCCTATAAAGGCAAGACATTGGATGTAAAATTAGATATCTAGAATGCTTCAAACAAAAGGTTTGAAGTTGCTACGAAGTAAGCTGCCTTGTAGCACAAGCAAGCTGCCAGGAAAGTTTATCGTGCTGCAAAATGCAAACCCTATATACATAATGAGTATTTTTTTTGTAAATAAACAAGGTGACTATATATTTATGTAATATGAGATTATATACTTTGCTACTACTCAATAAATTAGGATGAAAGCGATCACAGATTCCCAATTACATCTTCATAATATATGCTGCACAAAAAACACAACATAAAAACGCCCAATATAAAACAGGAAAAACCCAAAATTTTGATGACTATATCTTAGAAAGAGAACATTATCATTTTCCCGCACATTTAAACTACCGGAATTTCAGGCGATTTAACCCCCCACCGGGGTTCCTTCCGGCCAGCCCCGCCGCCACCGTCCTCCCCGGAAATCTCTCCCAACGACATCCCTTTCGTCTCCGGCAACATAAACGTGAAGCAGAATCCCAACATATTCGTAAATGCCAACACCATCAGCGCGTGTCGAATCTCCCCACGTTCTCATCCAACGTATACGACCTGCACCACAAACGCGCCTATCATCGCCCCAGCTTTTCCCGCCGCCGCGCTCAGCGCGTGACACGTGGACCTCAGCCGAGTTGGGAACAGTTCCGCGGGCCAGACAAACGTAGGTCGAATTGGGCCCAAAGTTTCGCAAAGAAGAACGTAAGCCCATAAGTAAGAGCAAACAGGCCCTTGTTGTTGTCCCTCAAGTACTCATAATTGATCCCCATTATCAACAAGAAGATCGACATCATGAGAAAGCCCAACAATTGGATGAAGTAGCGGCCCAACTTCTCGATAAACGCCACGGTGAACCAGTACCCGGGGAACGTCCCCAAAAGCGCCACCAGAAACATGGCCCGCGAAGTCTCCCACACTTCCTCCAAGGCATTGACGTCTTGGGCCTTGTTGACCAGGCCCATCGCAGGGAATATGTCCTTCTGCGTCAGGTTCTGGCTGTAGAACGCAATGTCGAGGAAAGAACCACGTGGACATGGTCCCCACCAGGTGGAGCCCGTGGCGGCTGTAGAATTCGTTGGACAGGATCGGGTACATGTTGGACTGCTTGAACTCGATCACTTTGTCTTGTTCCTCCTCGATCTCCATGTTGAGGACACGTGTCATGTCCTTGGCGGCCTGCTCGGCGTTTGCCGGCGGATGAGGGCGGTGTACCTCCCGGTCTCCGGCATCTTCATCCGCCAGTAGTAGGTCAGCGCCGCCGGCAGGGCGCCGAGCATGAGGACGAGCCGCCACAGTAAGTCGCCCTGAGGCTGCGTGGATAGGATCTCGTTCTCCGTGAATGTCGGGGCGGGATTTTCGACGAGGGAAGATTTTGGCCATGATCATGGAGACAAGTCCGGCGAAGATGATCCCCACGCCTTGCATGGCGAAGACCGCCGCGATGAACGCGCCGCGTGTCTTCTTGTTGGCGTACTCGCACATGATCGTCGCGGATAGCGGGTAGTCGCCGCCGATTCCAAAATTCCCAACCAAAACCTAAACCAATATAGCAAGTGACAACATTAAAGCTACCAAGTTGAGCAAGGAATGTTCATTATATCTAAAAATCCTAACAAAAAATTGCCTATGTGTAATCCGACTTTTAATAGGGAAAATTAGTGGTTTATGATTCAGCGATAAACTGTTATAGAATCATTGGTTAAACATTGCATAAAACCGTTCATGAGCTATAACATAAAGACATATATATAATTAATACACTAATTCATTACTGAATTTACCACTAACGATAAACAATTTCAAATCCATATATACCATCCATCACCGAAATTTCTAACACATCATGCAAAACATTCTCACAAAACAAATCATAAAAAATTCATCAAAATTTAAGTCAGTAATTAGGGTGGCAATCGATAGCAAGCCACGTAAGGTTGACAAGGAAGTTGGAAAATGAAGAAAAGAAAGCCGGGAATAAACTAGTAATTTAGATTGGATGATTTTAGTTTACGATTGGAAATTTCTACTTAATTTATAATGGTAAAAATAATTAATGAACCAGTTAACCAGCCAAATCAGGATGATTCATGGAGTCATATCCAACCATTTAAACTGTCCGATCCGGCCCATCCTGAACCGTCCAAGTAAATGATTCGGAACCGCGCTATTGTAATTGGTTTGACGATCCTGCCGGTCCCAATGGGCTAATCCGATTCAATTTCTATAACAAGGCAAAAATACCAACAAATCAAACAAAAGGATCGATCACTACTCCGTCTCATTCCTTTCTTATTGGAAACCGGTTCTCACCTGAAGAAGCAGAGCGACCCAATAACCGACTTGGTGGTTGAACCGAACGAGATCCCAGAGCAAACGGCGCAAACCACCATGATGACAAGGGTGATCCGTAGACCCTCTTCCGGCCGAGCTTGTCCCCGAGCCAGCCGAAGAACAGCTGCCCGCAGAACATCCCGACCAAGGCGACGCCGCTGACCGTGTTGTTGACGAACTGGGGCAGCTTCCCGGGCTGCCCGGCGGCCGGGTCGTAGTAGTAGAGGCGGCCGAGGAGCTTGGAGACGGCGGTGATGCAGAAGAGGTCGTATGCGTCGGTGAAGAACCCCATCCCGGCGATGATGATGGCCTTGACGTGGTACCATTGGGTCCGGGCGTTGTCCAGCGCCGTTAGGACCGCCAGATTGTTGTTGTTGTTGTTGTTGTTGGAAGAAGTCGCCATGTCGTCGTACGTCTTAGGTTTTTTTGTGTGTGGTTCTAATCGACATTTTTGGTCTGGTTTTGGGGGGGATTAATATAGTTGGTGATGATGGACAAAAGGGTGGGACGTGGGAAGCTATGGAGAAGAGGGGGGAACATCGATGGGAATGTGGAATATTATGTTAAGGTATTATACCATAAACGCTTTTTAATGCGGTTTTAAGTTTTGATGGATATGCTAATATTTTATGAGGGATTTTTTTTTTTTGGGTCGTTTTGTTTGGACGTGTTGCATGGGCTTTGGGATTGGTGACGGATTTCAAGCCTCCCATCTTTACATATTGTGGAAAGAGATCGTTTAATTTTTGTTTAACTTTTAATGATGATTAGATACCAAATCATTCTAAACGGCTACAAACCAAAGTCCACTAAAATCATGAAATGTGTCAGACACACAAAGAATTTATAAAACGCGTAACAAACAAACAAAAACACCTGATATGAGCTCGCTGCGAACTTCGACTCGTATTTACTCAAATCAAAAACCTCGTTTTTTTCTGGTTATCTAAAAGTGCTTTCTCTATTCAAAAATGAAACTGTTTACCCATAAAAAATCAGCTTGTACCACATCGATTAATTACAAGGGGATTAATGGATTTATAAGGTCAGCTCAACATTAATGATTAAAAGAGCCAGCTGGGCCTAGTTGGGTTAGATTTTTGGGCCTAAGTGGCCAACCCCCTTCTCCTCTATACGATGGCCGACCCGTCTCCGAGGCCCCCATAGCCGGACGATGCCTCCACCCCTTAGTATGAAATTTGGCCAACAAAGACTAAGTCTTGGAAACAAGGCGACACAATGGGGTGCCAAACGACCGGGTACCAAGCCTGGTATCAAATAAGGGGGGCCAAACAAGAGGGTATCAAGCCGACAAGGCAGGCCTGATACCCAAGTAAGAAATTTAGCCAAGTATGGAAAACAAGGCGACACAAAGGGGTGCCAAAACGGCCGGGTACCAAGCTTGGTACCAAATAGGAGGTCATCCAAAAACTATGTCTTGGAAACAAGGCGACACAACGAGGTGCCAAACGACCGGGTACCAAGCCGGCAAGGAGGGCCTGGTACCAAAGTATATGAGAATTGGCTAAGTATGGAGCCATAGGGGGTATCAAGCCGACATGCTTGGCAGCCAAGCAAGGCGACAGGGTACCATGACCCCAAGGGGGTATCAAGCCGGCGAGACTGACTTGGCGGCCAGGCAACAGGGGGGCCAAGCCAGGTACCAACTAAGAGAGTCATACAGAAACCAAGTCTGGGGGTATCAAGCCGACAAGACGTACTTGATAGCCAAACATCACGGTATCAAGCCAAACATCACGGTATCAAGACAAACACCCATGGATGGATCAACCAGAATGAGTTCAGCCCTTATGGGGCTATATGGAAACAAATTCCCAAAACGGGCTTGGTAGCACCTTAATGGGGTACCAAACCGGCAGAGTGCAACTTACCAACTTGACGAGGCAACAAAAACTAAGTATGGAGACCAAGCCACCAGGGCTGGCTTGGTAGCAAGGGGTGTCAAGTTGATTACATGGGCTTGGTGGCATGCCAGAAGGTATCAAGCCGATGAGACGGCTTGGTAACAACCAACAAGTTAATGAGGTGGTATTGGTGTCATGAGGTGGTAGCGGTCTCAAGACGACAAGAGTGGGGAGTCATCAAGCTGGCAAGGGTGTGGTCGAGACTTCATCATGGAGTCATGTTGAGGGCTTCAACCTCATCCAGTCAAGACAAGGCGACAAGACCAACACGTTGGGCGTCGAGGGCATCAAATACCAACCAGTCAACAAGACGGGTCAAGGAGCTCCAAGGCAATGGAGGTGAAGACCAAGACAACGGTTACCAATTGGCAACCAAGGCAACAAAAAGGGGTCCATAAGGCGGTTGGAGCAACAAGACGGCTAGGAGTTACCAAGGCGGTTACCAAGGCAGTTACTCCTAGTGGCTATAAATAGGAGAAACGAAGACGGGAAAAGGGTTCCACAACCAAACATTTGACGCACAATGTCAAACTTTATCCTTTTCTCTGCAAATTAGCCACAGTTTTAGTTTCTGGAGCTCTCACTGAACCTCCATAGGAGTAGAGTAACGTAACTTAGCTTTGTTCCCAAAAAACCATAAAAAACATCAAACACCCTCGTTCGAACATTGTTCGGAGAGGAGTGAACCGTGTAATTATCGTTGTTCAAGAAGTCAAAGGTGCATCCATTGTGTTCAAACACAAGTTTACTTCCTCGCCGGAAAACAGAAACAAAGTCATTATAAACTCTTTCTGTGTTTTTCTGTTGTGAATTTCTGATCTCTTGAAGTAGAAGTTTATGATGGATGGTTAGTAGTGCTGAATGGCGAAAACATTTCTTTGAGGGACCATGTTTTTGCAAGTTCTACTTCTACAAAAATGCCTTTGCTTATTTGCCTATAATATCTCAATTACACGAGATTTAGGACATTTTTTTATTGATGATTGTGATCAACCATGCATCAACAAAAACAAAAAAATATATATAAATATCATTAAAGAGGAGGGAGTACCAAGATATATAAGCCAATAATACTCTAGAAGCACCTCAACTATGCTGTAGGCAAGTATGGCCAAACTGCAATATGCAAAGAAGGATACAAGTTAAGGTGTCAATTTCTTGTCAGGAAGGTTCATGTCATGACCAAAAGAGCAACCAACAAGTCCTGCTAGGATGGCTTCCCACATCTCATTTGTTGCCAAATACTAACAAAATCTATTTTCATAAAATATGCGTGTTCATACATATAATCCTTCACAATGTGCGTGTCAATATGCTACTGAATATTGATCATCAAAATCTGTTTAATATGAAGATATACTCAATAAGTACATTCAATTGACATATTTTTAAGCGTAAAATTATATATCATGGTGCATAACGAAATAGTCATCCTCTTCCTCCCCTATTTGAGGCACTTAGTCCCTGATTTTCACCACATCTTGTCCTATATATATAGTTCTCCATCGATTCACTAACCGATTGATTGGTGTGTCATTACTATAGGGGGCGAAAATGTGGTAGATATCAATTAAGGGACTAACATTAGTCCATGAAACCCAATTGCAAGGCCGAAAAGTTATCATATGATGCCTCTAGAGACAAAACACCTAATGCTATTCATGTATTTTTGTGCTCATTCACGTTATTTGATGTTTATTCACGTAAGAGTGTTCGTTATTTACGTAAATGGAAATTCAAACCTCCCCTCCAATAATTTGTATTGGCTATATTTTATGGAATCAAATTTGGATTCTCAATTAATATGTTAAAAGGTGTTGCATTGATCATAATCTACAACGACATCCATTTTTATATACTTCAAAGTTCAAAACTTGATATTACAACGACGTGAATAAACACCAGGTTGCGTGACATAACAGTATTGGTTGCGTGAATAACGTAAACATGGCGTGAATAATCTCAAACTAATTACGTGAATAAATAGAAGAAAAAATTCTGAATTAGGTGTTTTGTCTCTAGAAGCGACGAGATACTCGATTCTCGCAAGGCTGGAGGCAAAGCTGGCAGTAGTACTCTTGATCGTGACCTGCTTCGTCCATGGAGCAATCCTCTTTCACTTCTTCCTCTTCCTTCCCCTGCAGCAGCAACAACTTCTCCATCTCCTGTATTTCCTCCTCATTGTATGTGCGAAGATGTGGTAGAAATCAGGGGACAAACGAGTCATGAAACCCAATTGCAGGGCTGGCCACAAGTCGGCACTGCGATAGTAACCTGCTTCGGCCATTGGAGCAATCCTCTTCCACTTTCTCTTCTTTTGTCTCCTGCAACAGCATTCGGCAACTTCTTCAGAACTGTTCATCTCCTGTATTTCCTTCTTGGGTCGTTGCTTCTCTGCAATTTGAAGGAGCAGAGTAATAACCTTGACTTATCAAGCATTTTAAGGTGGGGAATAGAGGAGGGAATATGGAATTAGGTGATGCACACATATTAGGCCAAGAGGCAGTAGAGAGGTCATGCGGGAGTAGTGAATATTGTTTGGGAGAAGTTTTTGCTGAATCGACAACCAATTTGGGCGAGGTCGATTTACCATATATTATCCCAATTCACAATTTTGAAATAGTAATTGTCCTCGTCATTAGAAATGCATGAGATGTAATATGATTTGAGTTTGGTTGCGTACTCTTGATAATGAGTTATTTTACCCCCCTTTAACAAGCACTTAATTAAACAAGAATTTGCGAACGAGATCGTGGCCGAGTAGTCGTGCTGCTGGTTTTCAGCTTGGAGCCCCCAGGTTTGAATCCCAGGGACTACTATTGTTTTCCCCATTCCTTCACTCCTCTAGTAGCACCTTGTAACGAGTCTCTGTAAAAAAAAAACATTTCAATAACAAAGAAGATCTCTTTGATGATTTCAAAACGAAATGATATATTATTTTAGGGGTCGTTTGGATGAGGAATCCTAACAGATCAATTTGACCTAATTGTTACATTTTCATATGAGACCATCTAACCAAATAGATTCGTTTGACAACACAAAATTTTGATGGAGTAATTTTATCCGGAGAATTTCATATTGATTTGTTCTGAGGCAATTACAAGTGTATAGGCTGAAGCTGACAATTTAAATTGTATCATTTCAAATTATTCGTTTTGTAAAATGAAACCATTGGCAAAATTATATCTTTTTTCAGTTGATCTCCCTCAGGTAATTTTGGCTACAACTGATTAGGCTTATTGGTTAAGAGAAGCCCGGCCCAAATAACAGCCGAGCGGGAAGCCCGCTTTGAGTTTTGACTGTAACCGAGAGAATTTCGAAAACCCGGCAAAAAATTCTCGAACCAACCATTTCCCCCAACTTCCCTTATTCCACCTGCTTCCAGCCTTTTCTCTCTCTGCAACTCTGGCCATCCGCCATGAGGTGGGATATGGAGGTCGAAGAAATTGAAGTCGTCCTCGAGAAGATTTGGGATCTC